CTGCCTCAGAGAAGGGTATAGTTTCTTGACAACATCTAACAGAAGCTATACTTCCCTCTTGGACACCACATATACCCATAAGGGATTTCCTGTGCCGTGTCATCGTTATAGTGTGAAAATTAAGAAGGCTTTCACCTATAACAATATAGTGTTTAAACAAGTTACTTACTTATGAAAAAGCCATATATATTTTAGTTGTTTAGAACCAAAAGGTGACTATGAGATTATAGCAAATCTGGAGAATAAAGGAACTAACAGTAAAGCCTATTGCAGAGTAAACTATACTCTTCTTGTATTTGATGGAAATATATGTATAAATTGTAAAATATTATACAATACATTATATAAAATTGAAAAATGATATGCTAATAGTGTTCAGTTTGTTAAAACAGCATATACATCTAAAGAAATCCTAACAAAACTTATTCAAAATATACAAAAGGTATTTATTAGATTAAACCTTTTTATGAACTTATATACTAATAAATATTTTTGCTTTAGATAATTAAATCTCAGAAAGAATTAGTCAAGAAGCTTCATGATTGCTTAAAACTAAAATTTGAAATAGAAGAAGAAAATACATTAGAACTATTGGCTAATATAATTTATAATGTAGTTGAAAAAGTTAAAAATAATGAACAGGAGAATGTACCAAATATTATTTTAAAAAAGCTAATCTGTGTACAAAGTAAAAAACCAAAAGAAGTATGATATTATCCTATATAAGCAGAAACAAATTGTAATGATTAATAAAATTATCTAAATTTACTAAGTATATTTTATAGGTTCATTTGGTAGGCAATATCAATTTATAGCAGAAGTCTTGCTGCCTATAAAGCAATGAAATCTATTATTTGGTTACCATCATTATCAATACTTAAAAGCTACATAAATAAGACCAACCAACATATAGGTTGGCAAAACAATGCAGTGGAGTGAATAATCACTAACATGAAGGCAAATAACATGTAGAGATATACACGATTAGGCTTTTATTCTTATGATTCATTTAAAATACAAAAAGGTAATAAGATTAAAAAAAAAGTATATATGGGAGTGAGTCAATAGAAATAAGACAAATTATTTTTAGTGAAATTTTTTTAATTTTTAAATTTAAATAACTTAACAATTATTTAATCAAATCTGCTAAAAATATTTTTATTTTAATCTTGAAATTATATAAAACTAAAATAAAAAAAAATTTATTAAATTTAATAAAATAGTTGTTAAGATATTTAAGCTTAAAGTCAAAAAAACTTTTACTTAGAAAAAATTTGTTTCTTTTCTATTGACTTCACTTTATATATATATACTAATCTTTTGTTTATATAGGACTTTTATGGAGTCAGCATGATAATAAATATATTGGATATGTTTGATTTTGATAATAAAAATGCAGAAATTAAAGCTTTTAAAGAGAAATATTTTCATGATGTTCAAAATCATTTTGATAATTAAAAAAATAATAAGGACTATAAAGATCATGAGTGAACCTTAGCATCTCAAGTTCATCAAATAGTGTAGTACTCAATAATCTACCCTTTTAACTTCCCAATAGCATATTTTGCAATTAAAACAATAGATATTTATATTTTTAACATAGTTCTTTTTTCTTTGGCAGCCAAGCTCAAATGTATAGCAATTCATACTTGTAGATTTGTTTGTGATAATGCAGTCAAAAATAAAAGGCATATTAAGAGCTTTGATTGGTTTGCAGCAATCTGAAAAATAAGAAATAAAGTAGAAGTTCAGCTATTAAATAAACTAGGAAAAAAAAGCTATAAACCTTTTACAATAATTTCTTTTAATTAAGAATATACTAAATTTTTAGTTAAACTTCTTGAAATAAAACCATCTTGTAGATTAAATGCAGACTCTTTCCTGAAAATTCTGATTTTATAGCAAAATTGGGAAAAACAAAATTTTTTGAAAAAGCTGAATTAAAACATATCTTAACTAATTAACTAAGTATTAGCATTAACAAATGGTATAGCACAACTTTAACAGAATAAACAAAGTTACAAGAAAGCTTTTTGCACTCCAGTCTCCTCTCACCATTGTTGCTGACTAAGTTGGCAACTGGAACCAACACTAGTAAAGATAACAATAAGTTCCAAACAAATACTTTAAACAGTATACACAAATACAATTCATTTAAGAAACTATGAATAACCAGAACAACAAGAAGAAGCATAAAACTAATAGAAAATTGTTATTTCCATACAAGCAAGTAATAAGAAAAATACTAACAAAAATTAAATTATTATCAAAAAAAATGGAAATTCTAGTATACTTCCAAAAAATTTGGCAATGACATCATTACATACAACAACAACAACCACAATCTCAAATCTTCTCATGGACAACCAAACTGAGCAAGACCTGATCCAGAACCTAGACAATATAGATGCTGCTTCTTTTTCACCAATGCAAATAGAAAAAACAAACAACCCAGCCTTATCTGATATAATGCTCCAGCCTAATTTGGATGCCAGCACTCTAGAACAACAACCCAATATAGAAGTAGAGCACACATCAACAAATATAAAAAATGATGACAACAATGAAAAAACCCAATCAACTGATACAATACTCGAAGAACAGTCACAAAATAAAATATCATATAGCCAAGCACTAGTTAATAACCTCTCAGAGAGAACTAGAAGAACTCCAAATGCTCATTTTAAAGCAAACAAAGAAAAAGAATGGAAAAAACATATGCAGGCAGCTTTAGAAAAAATCAGACAAGAAAAACTAGAATCATTTGATGCAACAATTTGGACATGACAAAAAACCAAAAATGCACTAATCTCACTTCAAAACTTAAAAGAACTGATTAGATACAAGTTGTCAACAAAACCAACCACTATTTATATTTCAATAGCAATAAAAGCAAAATTCTTTCATAGAAACACAGCCTTCTTTAGAAGCTTCACTCAAATTTTAGCAATTAGACCACAACATCAGAATAATTTCAACAACTTATTTACTAATGCCCTAAATGCATATAAAAAACAGCATGACATATTAGCTACTAACAAAAAAAATCAGGACCAAATTTTCGAATTATTGTGTACTAAATTGGCACTAGATTACCTAATCAACCTAAACTTCAATCTTTTAGACACGTGAGAAATCACAAAATATATTTTCTACTTAATTGGTTTTGCAAAAATTCAACAGAATTTAGACTTTGAAACAACAAGAAAAGCGATCTCAGAACTAATGAATGAACTACTAATTCCTTTGCCTGATACATTAGAGCTCATCCCAAACCATCTGTCTCAAGCTATTTTCTTTGACCTACCTATTACAAGCTGCTGGGTTCTTACACCAACAGTTAGAACACTGCCTAATATTTTCTTTCGATAAGTTACCAGATACATATATCACGGACAATCGTAAAAATTTACCAGCTTCATATAAAGATTTAAGAAACGAAGTACAATATCTCTTTCCTATTATGGACAGAGCTGAACTGAAAAGCTAGCTTACTACAGAGAAACATTACAAAAATACTATATTTTTCAGCAAATCCCAGCTGAATACTTTGATTTACTAGTACTAAAAAGCCCTTTGCCCTCTACTTCACAAGACTTGATACTTAGATTAAGAGAGAATTTCCCCTTCCTACCTGAAAGTCAAGATGATTTTAAGGAACATATCAGATTACTATGCATGGACTATTCCTTTACTAGACTGCCTAATGACTATATCATTTCTCGAAGATGACTACCCATAGATCCAACAAACTTAAAAATGTTCAACTTTACATTTTCATTACAAAGCATAGAAGAAGTAAATGCCTTTATCAAATGTGTTCCATGAATCTACAATATTCCATCACCATTATCACAAGCATATTGCAACTTCAACTATACAGATCTTCTAGATCTGCCTGAAGATGCCAATTTAGTACCTTTGATCAACTTAACTTTACCAATATTAACTCTTAAAGAGCTAAGTATAGCAGTCAAAGCATTACAAGAGCACTATTATTTTCATGCTATACCCCAGTCTTAAATTCAGATAGAAAGAAAAGAAAAACAGTTAGAGGTTGAATCAATCTTACCCAAATTACCATTAATAGTAGAACAACTTCAGTTGGCTCTTGAATAAAAACAAATTACAAATATACATATTCCAGTATAAAAACATCACAATATTCAATTAGTTATGGAAACTCTTAGACAAAACTTTGCCTATCACTCTTTATCAGAATATATTTTTGACCTTATAGACTTACCTGAACCATTCTTTGAAATCTTTGATCTACCAAAACAAACAACAACCACACATACACAAATGTTAGAAAGAGAAAAAGACAACAATATAGATCTCTAATGAGTACAAGCTATCATATAAACAATCTGCTCTCAGCAGATAATGAGAATGAAACAAAAAAAGTTAAACTAAATTTAAATGAAAAAAGCAACATAACTATACACAACATTAGAGGCATCAACAATATACTAAAAATGCGAAACTGGATTGAACATTGTGTAGAATCAAATTTACATATAATCTCTATAACTGAAACTAAATTAAAAGACTCAGCAGCAATATTGTATACCAATCCTTTTTACAAAATATTTATATCTAACTTTTTATCATATGACTCAAATCAAAGAGAAGCTAGCTTGGGAACAGCTTTATTAGTCTGCAACCAACTACAGCCTTATATTCATAACATCAATACTCTACCTGGCACTGCAATTTGCATCAATTTTTTTTCCAAATAATAACAAATCTAGCATTATTTCAACATATCTCTCTCAAACCATTCCTCACTTTTAAAACAGACACAATATCAAATTCACTCCTAGGTTGCAAAGGCCAGATCTCAAAACTGGCATTTGATTATCCTGAGTGATTTTAATGCAAATCAGCACAGAAACAAACAACTTTTAATTTTTACCAACCTAAATGCTGCCAACTTAACTAGCTTATTAGATTTTCATAATATACAAACACCTACTTGGCATGGTCCTAATTCAACCAGTCAAATAGACGATTTTTGGGTTTCTTCAGATATACTTTTAGCCTTCAATCTACCAACAATAATTGATGCTACTTATATTATCAATAGTGATCATCATATACTAAACACAACATGGCATATTAATTTTTATTTGCCAAAAGCTCCCAGAAACAAAAAAAAGAAAAGGAAAATATATCTATATGAAAAAACTACAACAGACATATAGAATGAATTTGCAAATACAGTAAACATATCATTTAATTCTTAAGAAACCTCTTCATCAAACATGAATAAAGATGATATCAATAGAACAAGGCATCAAAAATAAAAAAAGCAATGAATAAACATATTTCATACACTTTTACAGCCCTACAACCTTTCTTTGCAATGTCACTAAAGGCAACAAAACTTTACTCAACTCTAAAGAATATCAACAAATGTCTACAACAACTATCAAATAGAGCAGCAGACACAATAGCCCAGGCCAATCAGTACTTAATGAAAGCAGCCACCTTAGCAGAAATTAGCATTACTTCTATTATTCAAGAAGAATTTGATCAATCACAATTAAACACTATAAATCGAGTCAAACAACATAAACATACAATTTGGCAAGTACACAACTATGAAAAAAAACAGGAACAAACTAAGTGCATTAAGTTTTATATTAATTGCAGATACATTGACTTTAAAGACAACACTAGCCGAATGCTAGATAGTATTCTACAAAGGCAAGCAAAACCAATTAGTTATGAAAAAGTCATAACATCTGACAGTGTAATTACCAATCAAATGGAGATCAAAGAAACTGTATGCACCCATTTCAAAACTGGATAAAAACAACCCTCCTAACAATTCCTTATAGAAAGAATGGAAGCCATTCTACTCTTCACTCCAGCATATACAGAATGATATTTACAATACTCTTCTCTCACCTATTTCAATAACTAAACTGATACAAACAATAAATCTAGCCCCTAAAGGAAAAGCAACTGAACCCTCTGGAATTGCAAATAAAGTTCTTCAGCAATTGCCATTCTCAGCTCTTACAGTTCTACTAAATATCTTTAATAGATGCATAATACAGAAAATAGTCCCAAACCAATAGTTACAGGCTAATATTTGGCTGATTCCTAAAAAACAACAATATAATTACGAATTAAATACTACCTGCCCAATTACTTTAATAGACCATACTAGAAAAATTTTCACAAAAATTTTAACAAATCATTTGACAGACATTCTAGTTTGCAACCAAGTGCTTTTTTCTCACAATTTTGCAGCTTTTTCTCACTAATTAACACTTCAACCTATTTCTCAACTTATTTACATCTTAGAAGATGCAACTATAAACCAAAAAGAGATCTGAATCTTATCTCAGGATATGTCAAAAGCTTTTGACTCAATTCATATACCAACTTTATGCAAATCACTTAAAAGAATACACATACCTAACAAAGCAATTAATTTGCTATCA